GACGTGTATACTAATACGTCGTCAACAATTGAGATGTTGTCTTTGTTTTCCCAATAGGGTTTGAGATCCAGCTCCACATCTCTTCTTCTCGGCCACCCTGTTTGAATGATTTTCTGAAGACGCATGCACACTTTGTCTTTACGTTGTTCACTGGCGACTTTTTGAATACTGTATGTTGTCAGAGGCATAGAAGAGGCGACGTGTGTAATGTAGCCGTCAATTTCATTTTCGAGCTCGAAAGGTTCGGATTGTAAGATAGGAGACCTTGACAAAGCGTCGGCTGCAGTGAGATCCTTGCCAGGGACGTAAACAATCGCATACGTGAAACGCATGAGTCTCATGCGCATCCTCTGTAGCCTCGGTGTCAGGTCATCGAGCGCTTTGGACCCAAAGAGTGAGACGAGGGGCTTGTGGTCAGTTTCAAGAGTGAAGTTTCTTCCCACGAGGTAGTCTCGAAACTTCTCGCTGGCCCATACGAGGGCCAAGCCTTCCTTCTCGATCTGTGCATATCGGCGTTCAGTGTCTGTTAGGAGTCTTGACGCGTAGGCGATCACCTTGAACCACTCTCCTTCTTTCTGGCGTAAGACAGCACCTAGACCGTATGCCGATGCGTCAGCACTGACAACTGTTTCCTTGCTTGGATCGTAGATGCCTAGAACTGGGTCTGATGAAAGCATAGATTTCCACCGGTCGAAGGCAAGCTGTTGAGGTTGATTCCAGACGAAGTCGTGCTTGGTGCTTAGCATCGACGATAGCGGTTCTAGGAGCTGTGCACCATTAGGCACGAAGCGCGCCAGATACGTTGCCATTCCCATGATGCGTCGTAACTCCTTCTTTGATGTTGGATTTGGCATCTGCAGAATAGCTGACAGCTTTGCTGGATCTGGACGAACTTGATTGTTCTCAATCACGTGTCCCAGGAAAGAAATCTTCGTAACGCTGAAGAGGCATTTCTCTCTGTTTAGTGTGATCCCCGCTTGAGTGAGACGCTCCAGGACTGCTCTTAGATGGCTATCGTGTTGATCTTTTGTAGATCCCCAGATCAGGACGTCGTCCATATGGCACGCCACTCCTTCAAGACCCAAAAGAACATCGTTCATTCTTCTTTGGAAGTGTTCTGGCGCCGAAGAAATTCCGAACGGCAACCTGTTAAAACAGAACCTTCCAAAAGGTGTTATGAATGTAGTCAAGGGCTTGCTGTTTTCACTTAAGGGGATTTGCCAAAACCCCGAGTTGGCGTCGATTTTCGAGAAAACGGTTGCCTTCTGCAACATTCCCAAAGAGTGTTCCACTGATGGGATCGGGTGCCATTCCCTCTGGACGTACTTGTTCAGTTGCGTAAAGTCAACGCAGATCCGAATGTCACCCGAGGCCTTAGGGACCACTACCATCGGGGCGCACCACTCCACGGGTTCTGTCACTGGTGAAATGACTCCCAGATTCTGCATCCTCTCAAGCTCCACTTTTGTCTTGTTAAAAAGAGGCAGAGGGACCCTGCGAGGTGAAGTCAAGGCAAAGGGCGTCGCATCCGGTGCAAGCTTTACGTCGTAGTCACCCTCCATTGTGCCGAGACCTTGAAAAAGGCTGGGAAAATCTTCCTCAGGGTACAGTCCACGCACCTCGCAGATTTCAGAGAGTACTTTGAGTTTTTCTATAGCTGGCTTTCCAAGCAGCGGTGTGTTGAGGCCACGCAGAATGTAAACTTCCTCTTCGCTACTGTAGTTTTTGAACGAAAGGTTCATGCTTGCGACGCCTAGAACGTGAAGCGACTTGCCGTCGGGCCCCTGCAGCTGGCGTCTCGGCGAGTGTAGAGTGCGGTCTTTGAAGAGACTCCTAAAAAGGTCTTCGGGGATCACCGTCTCATCTGCACCGGTGTCTATCTTGAATAGAACCGGTTGGCTTTGGACCAATATTGACAATTCCCACTTTGAGGCTCCAAAGTTTGATAACGTTCCGAGAAATCCTGGCTCTTGCTTCCCATTGTTCTTCGTTGCGGTGGCGGGTTTCGAGGCAGTCATTAACTGTCCTGTTGAGACGAGCCCTTCTTGTTGCTCGGTGACATTTCTAAGAGAAGATGTCGACCGACAAACCGTCATAAAGTGTCCTCCTTTTCCACAACTCCGGCACACCGCGTCTTTTGCTGGACATCTCGATCGAGGGTGTGTTTCGTGTCCGCACCAGATGCAGGATCGTTCTTGAGCTTTGGTGTCGTGTTGGTAACGTTTTGATAAAGTTCTGTCCCAAGCGACTGCAGCCTTTTGCGGCGTAGTAAATTTCCTTCTGGTGTGTATCTGGTCTACTGATTCTGTGTTTTCTGGGAATCGTAGCTCTTTCTGCTGTTGTCGGACTGTCTCATGCTGACGGGCAATTGTGAGTGCCTTCATCAAGTCCAGCGACGAGTCCAACTGTAGTTTTTCTGAAACTTTTCTGTCTTGCAGGCCCACGACCAAGCGATCCCTGATGAGTTCTTCTTTTAGCTCGCCAAAGTTGCAGGTGTCGGCTAATGTGTGCAATGCCGTCGCAAAGTCTTCCAGTGATTCACTCTCTCCCTGTGTTCGGGTATTGAATCGTGCTCTTTCGAAGATTATGTTGCGTCTTGGAAAGAAATAGGTCTCGTAGTGGCCTAACACGACTTCAAACTTCTTAGCGTTCTCAGGACTTAGCTTGAAAGTGTTGAAGATGTCCTCCGCTTGCGTTCCCATCAAGTAGACAAGCGTGTCGACTTGCTTTTCTTCGGTAGCAGCTTGTAATCCCGAGGCTGTGCGGTACCGAAGAAAACGTTTCTTCCAAGCAGGCCACTCGTTTGGAGTGGTGAAGTTAAATGGGTCGGGTGGAGCTATTTGGAACGACGCCATTATAGAGCTGATGTCTGATTGCGTACCTTGTATTAGAGGTTGACCAGAACTGTTCCGTGGCAGCTGCTTTGCGGTCGCTTCGGCGTCTGAAGAGCCGGTTGTTTCGCAAGCTGAGGGATTATGCATGGCCGGATCCCACTTCTGACACCATGTTGGAAGTATGAAAAGGGCGACCTTTCAACATGGAACCAGGCACGCAACTGCCCGCTCTTTAATACACTTCTTCCTCTTCCCTCGTGTCGGCAAAGCCGACACGAGCGATGAACTATCTCACACATTCACTTCATCATTACCATAGCAGGCCAGGTTATTGCCATATTAGATTCAACTGTGTCCTTTTCTAAAGCATCGGCTTTTGTAGAGGATCGTCAACCGTTTCAGTTACTCGGCATCTCGGTAATACAAGAGAAGGTCAGCAATGGCGGCTGTAATTTAGCGCGTGTGTAAAGCGTCTATACGGGAACTCTAGCCTCTCCTAGAGGAGCTTTAGCCTCTCCTAAAGCCTCTTCATGTTTTAAAAGTAGCGCAAGGTGCTTCGATGCACGAGGCACGTGCAACGTGCAGCCCTTGGGAAGATCATGGCGGCACATCGCAGCACTACAGTATTCAAGTACACTGCAGCAGCACTGAGCTGGATTTCAGACGCCGAGAAGGGGCGCGCGGCACGTGTCTCGAGCATTGCATTGCTGAAGGTTCGGACACCTTCTCCTCCCGAGGCCCCGATGATGCCAGCCCGGCGTGCCTCTACTGCTTTGCTAGGCCGTCCACAGTTGGCCTCCGACACATTCTCTGGAATTGCTCAAATCTTCAGCACCGCCTCCTTTCCCTGACTCAGGCACAAGACCTCAACCTGGCCTCCCCTGAGGACTACTGCAAATGAACCAGAGTGAACGCGCATGCCGGAGCCCTTTTGGGCTTTTTACGGGATGCACAAATAGCGCACCTAATCTAAACAATCAAGCTATGCTTCTTGCAAAAAAAAAAAAAAAAAAGTTCGTCGAATTATTGTATACTTTCCAGGCTGAAGATGCCTGCCGTCTCTCGGAAATGCATGCAGTGTGATCTCTTCTTCAGTTGCTGAAATACCGAGACAGTCCCTCACACAGCACCTTCTAGGCATTGTAGTTGATCACGTCAATTCACTGACTCCTCTTCTTCTACCTTTACAGCAACATTAAGCGATGGAAAGCAAATAAAAGAAACCTTGTCTGCTTGGATCGCTCGTGGAGGTGCGGAGAATAACAAAAATATTTAAAAAATATTACACGCGCTGGCTGTAAGCCCGAGGAGGGATACAACTCACGTGACTTCCGGCGATGCCTCCCTTCTGACCGCCCCGACACCTTGCGGTACACTGTTACGTCACAGTGTACTGGCAAGAACTTTGAATTGGGACTCGTATTTTTATTTTTTATAAAAAAACTACGCACCTCTATAGTGAAACATTTTTTTTTTGTAATGTCCTGACATGCCATTTCAATGCCTAGCATGGAAAAAAAAATTTTTTTGGCGTGTCAGAGGCCCTTTAAGTGACATCCCTTCCTGATTGAACCCCGAGGTTTCAAGAGGCAGCCCATCGCAGTGGTTCTCCAGTAGGCAAGGTGACGGCGTCCGTCCACAGATGGGTGACCTTTTTCCTGTCATGTGGGTACTAATGCTAACGCATTAATAATAATATTAAAAAAGGAACAAGTCTACGGTATTGAAGCTGGCCTTGGAATTTGCGGTTTGCAAGTAGCTGAAATTTCTTCCTGTCGCTGTCAAACGGCAAAATATAAAAACAAAATGACAGGTAATTATTGTTGGAGTCCGGTAAGATCCACACACTAAAGAACGTTTAATTGTTTATTGCGCGAAAATGGGATTACAAAAACACCATTTGCAACGAGAATTTTCTCAACAACTGTAATAAGCCAATTAATAACTCAACAAAAAAAAAATGCCCGAGTTAACAGCGAGCGCGTTAATAACAACTCACTAAACCTCATTCTGCCGTGCTCTGCTGTGTTGCACTTCTAACGTGTGCTTGGACACAAGCTAACGCGAAACTATCGTTTGGTCGCAAAAAAAGTCAATGTCCAACAACGATGCTCAGTGATGTCCCTTCAGTGAACTCAACAGCAACAACCGACTTCAGCAACAAAGCTACTTGTGCTTCCAGAAGAAATCGCGGAAACGGGTGCGTATCTTCCCCATCGGCTTGTTCTCCGCGGCCTTCTTGTCACCGCACGAGTCGACCACGTCGTCAGGAGGCGTCGATGCCCCGGGTCCTCCATCCACCAGGACATCACCCTTGCTGCCGTCCGCGTCCGAAGTCGGGTGCGACGGCACGACCACGGTGCACACGGCTGGCCCGCTCTTGTTCACGGGCGCGTACAACTCCACCTCGCAGTACTGAGAGTCTGACGGACTCCCGGTCGCCTTGCCGTTGAGGGAACCGCGCCTCAGTTCTCCCTCGGCGAGCCGTCCTCCTTCGGCTGGTGACGTGGATGCCGCGTCTTGATGGTTCGACCCCACCAGGGTCTCCAGGCTGAGCGACTGCGCGTGCGTGTCCTGCTGCTCGTTCATCGGGAACTCGTAGAAGGACAACGAGTCCCGGTCCAAGCCGCGCGCTCGCAGCTCTTCGGGGGTCATGTTGAGCGGAGCCCAGTGTTGCTTGAGAAGCGGCTTTCGGGGCTGTCCCTCCATGTAGAGGGTGCTGAAGTCGGCGTCCGAGCGGGTAGGACGGGCCTCTGCGGATCCGTGGTGGTCTCCGGAAGACATCATCACCCCGACCTTGGGTCCTGCGAGGAACGGGATCCACGGATTGGTTCCTTCTCCCGACGGCCCGCCGCAGTCGAGGCCGGACTCCTTGTTCTGCGCGTTCAAAAGTGACCACGGGTTTAGGGCCGCGGGCGCGAGTTCTCGCGTGAATCCAACGCTGCTGCTGTCTTCCTTTACGAGTTTCTTGCACATGGCGTCTTCGGCGTGGTCGTGGATCCACCACGGGCAGTCGTAGATGAGTCCTCGCGAAGCCCCGGCTTCGTTCTGCTCCGGCTCCTGATCGGAGATCGTATCTCTCTTGTTCCAACTGTTGCTGTTCTCTGGATACCTCTTGCGCTCTTCCCCCGGCTGGCCTGGGGCCACCCGGCGCTTCACCTCTTCGTACTCCTCTTCCTCGCTTTCCAAGAGGAGGTACTCGACACTTTCCTCCGCAAAACAAGGGACGATTTCCGGGTCACGGTACTCTTCCTTCAGGGCCACGTCGGCCACCGCCTTGCACACGTCTCTCTTTCTGGCGAGCCTAGTCTTGCAAGAGCAAACCCTGACCACGCCCTCGCTGTCCATCGAGTTGCAGCAAGGACTGTACACTCCGCAACTGTTACAGTAGCTCTTGCTCTCGTCACTGCTGCCAGTCACACCGGGTCCCGACCCGTGTGCTACGGTGTAACCGGTATACTCTAGGCTCCTCTGGTCTCCTCTGTCAGAGATTACTTCTCTCTGCTGAGTTTTCATTGGAGGCGGACACCCCTGCCGACCATCCTGGCTGTCGTCTCCTGCTGCGGCGTCTTCTAGAGCGGCGTCGTGGAGCACGGGTGAAACATCGGCCGGCTTGAGAACAGGTGCGTTAGACTCCGCCAGAGATGATCCAGCGTAACTTTCCAGCACGTTGAGGTCATTGCATCCCGAATCTGCGGTGTCGATCCCCGCCTTAGATTTGTAATCGGCTACGATCCCGTCCAGGTGCTCTTTTAAGGTTGTCGTGTCCTCGGCAAAGTTGATTAGGATGACATCGCTGGTGGTCGAGATAGTGTCCCCCAAGTCTTTTGCGAGCTTGGGCACCTCAAGGAACTCATCCCTCGAACTGCCGGAGTCGTCGTTGCTGATCGGATCCAGACACGGCGTCGAAGAAGTGTTAGGATTAGACTCGCAAGAACTCTTTTCGTCGGCACTTTTAATTGGGCTGCAGTCCTTGAGAAGTATGTCGAGATCTTCCATTAGGAGCGCCGTCCGGTCAGTCTTTCCGTCGGTGCCATTCCTTCTCAACTTACCTTGGGCGTCGTCCTTGGGCGACGACGACGACGTGCCGTTCGATACGAGGCTGTCCAAGTAGATCTCAGAGCTGCTTGTGGGAGGATCTTCGGACATACAGTTTCGTTCCTCGTCCGTGAGCTGCCGGTAGCGGTCAGCGAACATATCTGCGTCGTCAAGAGGGTGCGGCTTTTCGGTGGAATCCCAGTCTTTGTCGTCAGACCTGCTGCCTTCTGTTTCCGTGCCCGGGCTAAGAAGCTGCATCTCCGACGGCGTGTCGGAAGTTCGGGTTTGAACCGAAACACTTCGAAACTTGCCGTCGTCTTCGCTATCAGCTGGCGACAAAATGTCTATCTTGGCTAGTGTCAGCTGTCTGGGACAAACGAGCTTGTCTCCAACATTGGTGGCAAAATCATCTGAAAGCTGTGTGAACGCGTCTGCTTTCGCCGGGTTGAGGCCTTCAGCCCCTTGGCCTGTCTTTAAGTCAGCCTCAAGAGATTGATTCATGACCGCAGTCTCCTCCTCTGAACTCGTTATCGGTGGTTCTTTAGCAGCAGAAATACTCTTTGAGGATTCTCCCTTTGAGAACTCTCCTTCTTTGACCTTGGAGACCTGTCGCTCGATGGCAAAGGCTTTAGAGCAGTCGAAAGCGCCTTCCTGCTTTTTGTCGGGACTGGCTTCCTCCCGCGTTACGATGATGTTGGAGCCCACAATCTCGGCCTTGTAGCGCACTCTTCTTTCCGGCCTGCGCTGCTCTTTGGGCGGCGAGTCGCGCTTAGGCGTCGCCATGACCAGGGGGCCTCTGTCTCCGGACGGATTCTCTGCCAGGTCCTGCTTTCCGGCCAGGTTGAAATCCTTAAGCACGGTAGAACTGTAGACTCGTGGGTTATTCCTGAAGGGCGGTGCCCTCGAGAATGTCTTATTGCTGCTGCTAGCGTTACTGTACGTGGAGCTCGCGGAACGTTCTGGCTTCACGGTCGTTGTCATCCGAAGCGGTCTCTTCGGCTTGGCTCCCAACAAATCGGACTCGGGAATCTCCTGAGACCTGTGGATTGTCATGCCAGTCGGCTTGGCCTTGGTCTGCGCGGTTTCTCGCTTGGGCTGCAGAGGCGGCAGGCAGTCGTCCGGGGTCCTGTAGGACCTCACGGAGAATGGAAACGCGGTGTCCTTGGGTCTGCACTGGAAGATGCCCGATCTCGGTGGCGGGCCCAATAGGTTCGACGTTGTCGAAGCCGGCGACTGGCTCTTGGTCGAAGACCCAGACGTCGTCGGCTTGTCAGCCGCCGCTGCCGGTCCCACCAGGAACGGTGGCAGGTGCAGATGGCTTGAAGGAGCCTTGTTGTCCTTGCGCGGAATCCTGGGGTTGTCCCGAGTTCGGAACGGAGCCGCCCCGTACGGCTTACGCTCGGGCAGTCCAGGGGTTGACCAGGGCGGGGCGGTGGGCGCCGCGCGGAGCGGCGGTACTACCTGCTTGCGACGTCGACTCTGCGACCGGGGTCCCCTCTGTTGCCACTCGAAGCCCCGAGGCCTGCCGAAAGGAGGCTCACCCGGCATCAGGCGTCCTCCTCCCAGCTTGCCGCCATCCGGGATGTAGCGGTAGAAGGTGCAGCCGTTCCATTCGAACTGGACGATCTTGGCTTTGTCCCTCTTGGCGGCCGCTGCGGCAGCCGCGGCGCCGCCACTACCGCCTTGTGACATGGACGGCGGAGGTCCTCCATCAGCGCCGCCGGCGAGGAAAGGTGCAGGTACGAAGAAGGGCGAGCGCAGCGGCGGAAACCGCCACACGGGCGGGGTCACCGCCGGGGCCCTGGCCGATGTCCACATTGGCGGGATGCGGTTCGGGGCGGCGTCTCGCCGCTTTTTTGGGGGTCCGCTCAGCCGCATCCTGGCCGAGGGCGTCCGATGGACGCGGTGCGGAAGCGCGGGGCGTCCTCCGGAGGAGATTCGAACTCGCGGAGCCGGCCCGTCCCACTTCGCCCTCCTCGTTCGAACGAGAGTTGGGCGAGAATGGCGCCCGGCCCGAGCTCCAGGCCACGCTCGGTGCGTGCGGCGTGCGCGACGCGCGACCTCGATCCTCGATGACGGTCCTTGACTGCCGGATTTAGTGGTGGGCTTCTTAGTGCAATCAAACGATATTTTGGTGCACGCTTTCTTGCATCTTTAAGTGGGCTAATTAATATAACCTCCTTTTGTATTGAATCTGAGGTATTGGAACGCGGGACTTGATCAACTAGAAATTCGAAATTCTCACACATCAAATGGGTTTTTAGAAGACTTTTCGGGTCTGCGTACGCTGTTATTGCGCAACAAACCAGCACTCTTGAAATTAAAAAAAAAAAAAGGTTGGCGTTTTGTACATTGTTTGGATCAATGTCTCTGAATACTGTTCCTGTTCAGTGACTCTGGTTCGGACAATGACGTTGGTTCGGACCAAGGGTTCGTACCGACGCGGAAGAGTTTGAAAGCCCGTCAAGCTGTCACTTCCGGGACAAGCCACTTACTTCCGGAGGCTCCATACCTGTTTGCTCAGTGCGCCATCCAGCCCAGTGGAGATCAGTATGCAGCATTCATGAAGTTACAATCTCGTGGATACAATTGTCATCGGAAATGCGGATCGCGGTAGTATTGGCGGGCTAGTCCTAGCCAACGTTACTATATTAGGTCACCTTAGTAAAACATATAAAATATCGCAAAAAAGACAAGTACAAGAAGTATACAGGACAGGCGCTATACTTCTTGTCCTTGTCTTCTTGTATACTTCTTGTCCTTGTCTTTTTTGCGCTATTTTATGTTTTATTAAGATGAACCAACTAGCCCAACCAACGTACCCTACTAAACTATATTAGGTCAATTACTAAACTGCCCATAGACGCTGCTTGCACGAGCAATAACCCCCCCCCCCCCCCCCCTCCCCTCACTCGCCACGACTCGCCGCCCGTCGTTCCACCAGTCACGGTTCTTGGGGGACTTGGAATACGGCTGCTATGGCAACTGTAGTGTATTCTATAGAATAACCATGTTTCGAGAGAGGCCGTTTAGATGGCGATTCACCGTACTCTATGGAACACACAGTTTTGAAACGTAAATCCAGATGGTTCTTCAAACGACGGAAGGCGGACTGAGAGAAGTGAGGTGGGCAACCCCCTCCGCGGGACTTCCACAATGGACCTTTTGTAGAAATACGCGGTGCGCATGCGCGGAGTATTTGATGCGCCTGGGTTCGAGAGTATCTGGTTCTAAACAATCCGCCATCTTGCTTTTCTCGGCTTTGCGCGCCTTGGAGACCATCGAGACTCAAGCTTTGATGTTGCGAACAAGGTGAACACGAGCCATCGTACTGACGACGCCCGTTTTAGATTACGACGTGCACCGCAATCATGCCGGTGAACTGTGTAGCCTTCGGCTGTCGGAACTGTTATCGCCCGGGTTGTGGAACTAGCTTATTTCGCTTCCCGTGTGCTAAGCTTCATCCCGTTACGGGCAGCCTGGATTCGTGCCGTCAGGAGAGTTGACATGTCCGGCCCCTCGAAAAACAGGAAGCCGAGTCAGCTGTCCAGACTATGTAGCGCCCATTTTATTACAGGTAAGTTGACTTGTAATTTTTGCAAGCGATAGAGCTTTGCGAAGTGCGGCGATGATCACAGCCGGCGTTAGACAAGGCACACCCGGGGTGCTATGTTGCGCTTTTTGCACTCCCAGGAGGCTTGGATGAGGGAAGTGACGTCAACGACACAGCAAGTGCAGATTGGATGTTGACAGAAGAAAACGAAATCAACACCCATTCTGCGTTTGCTGTGTCGTTGACGTTAAAGCCCCTTGATAAAAGCGTTTTTATACAAGACAAGACAAGACAAGGCAAGACAAGCGCAAACACATCAAGGGGCTTTAGTTGACGTCACTTCCCTCTCCCTAGTCTCCTGGGAGTGCAAAAAGCGCAACATAGCCCCCCCGGACTATGTCCCTACACTGTTTAGCTACTCGCTTCCACGGCCGTCAGCCCTCGGTAGGTTTCAACGCTGGTCCTCCAGATCATCAACCCAAGGTGAGAACCTTTTGTTGGCAATCAGGTCAGCTGAACACGAAAAAAAGAGAACACGAAGGAAAGAACTGGACAAAGACAACGCTGACTATCAACTAAATTTTACTTTGTCTTCTTTCCGGCCTACGCCCTTTTTTTCTTTCTTCTTCTTCGTTTAACGGCAGAATAAACACTTATAATAATAATAATAATAATAATAATCTTTATTTGCTCAGGAGAGCCGCGGCACCGCAGAAAGGCAACAGCCCGTACCAAGGAGGCCTGCGGTGCCGCGTCTAGTGAAGGGGATTATGTGATGATGTAATATACAAGATGAGAGTGCTTATGATTAGGATATGTGCGTTAGGCCTATTAGCATTCTTCGCGGTGCTGTCATTGGCTCCTTACTTCTAGCAGGCCGGTCTCGAACACCTGGAGTGGGCTCCTCGCGTGTCCGACTTGCATAGTAGCCGGCCGAATTACCGAATTATGAATACCTTTTAGCCTAGTATTCAACGGGGTGTGGCAGACCGCAATCTTCTCCTTTTTCTTCGATGGCCAAGGCCCCCAGCACTTCACGCGCGAAGGAGTTCTTGTTCCTATGAGGGACGGTTATGCTGGTGAGCTCGGCATCGCATCCACAGGTCCGGCAATGAGCTGACAAATGTCCTGCTGATGTGCTTCTCACCGAGGCTGCGTGCTCCCTTGCTCTATCATTTATACATCGGCCAAACTGGCCGATGTATAAATGCGAGCAGCGAAAGAAAACTAAGAGCAGCAAAAAGAAAACGAACCGGTAGCACACAAGAAGCCTAACGTGGACGTTGTTTTCTCTACAAATACTCTCCAACCCAGTGCGCCTCAGGTTCGTCCATCGCCCCATAGGTGGCAGCACATATTCGCCAAAAGGTCCAACGTTTGCCCGAGCCCACCATATAGTGTGGAAGGATAATCGCGGTTATGATTTTTTCTTCTGCCTTTTAGCTAAAGACATGAGAGAGTTTCCTACCATTGTCAGAGGGGAAAATTAATGCGATTTCCAGCGGATGTACTTAGATCACGAATGCCATTATTTTCGAAGACCGTGCCACACGCTATCTTTTAATACCATGATGATGAGTAGGCTATTTCAGCGTGGCAAGCCATAACAGAATTCATACGCGTGTTGCAGCTCTTTACTCAAAAGACTGTTCAATTCCTAGTTCTATAGTTGCGAGAGAGCAAAACACGTCCTGGCCGAATCGGCGCCTCGTTGAGGTCATACGATGGCAAGGAAATTCCCCGACGAGATATCTTTGTGTGTCAAGGGGTGCTCGGGCTATTGTCTCTCCGGGTGTCCTTTCGGATACGTGAAGTGCGGAGGGAACGGTTACTTCCTCCTCTTGCGTTTAAAGTCTTTTGTATGTTCAGCCTTCCTCGGATCCATAAGGTTCACAAAGAGGGGCTCTCTTCGAGTTCTTATGGTATCCTGTGTTGCGAGAGATCCTCTTAATAACTGACAGGCTGACCGTTTATTAATAAAAAAATAATAATATAATAATATTATTAGTGATGATGATGATGATGATAATAATAATCAATCAATCAATCAATCAATGTTTATTAAAGTGTCCAGGAACAACCAATCGGTCTTAGTGCTGGCACACTAAAAAAAAAAAAGAGCAAAAACACACACATACAAACACGCATACACACGAGTGCAGAAGGAGAACGTAGTTCTCCAGTCTGAGAATAAAAATATTAACAAGTATGAAAAACACTCAGATTAACAAGGGAAATCAAAAGCACGAAACAGAGACATCACCAGGTGTGAGAGCAAAAAGCATATACTACATCAGCGCTTCAACTGATCAGCCCTTTTCCTGCAAGAGGAAGATTTGAACAGCATTTCCGAACTTGCTCCCGCATGAGTTAAAAATATCAATTGTGTCAGAGTAGCGATTATAACACTCCGCCGATCTTTGGATCGGGTTTAGGTTGCTAAAATGTCGAGCTATATAAAAAGATGATTGGAGCCGTGTAGGCACACGTGGAACTCTGAGGCTCACTTCGGACAGAAGGCTGGGAGAGTTAATCGAGCCGTGCAGGGTCTTAAACAAAAACAACAAATCTGCCTTCACCCGACGCTGCTGGAGGCTCAACAAGTTGACAAGTTGCGAGTTACACACACCGTTCAGACAAGGATCACCATTCTCAAGGTAACGATATTTAAAGATAGAAATAAATTTGTTTTGGACTCGCTCGACAGATGAACTGTTAGTTTTGGAAATGCCGTTCCAAACAACCGAGGCGTACTCTAGCTGGGATCTAACTAAGGAACAATACAGCGTAAAAAAAGCGGACGGGCTTTTGAACTCCTTCGTTATGCGAGACACGGCACCTAACGTGCGCAAGGCCGATTGAACCACTTTGATGACGTGAGTGTCAAATCTCAAGGTTGAATCAAAGACAACTCCAAGGTCCCTCAGTTCACTTACACGTGACAGCAGTTCGCCATGATAACTATATGGAAAGAATATATCATGGGTCTTGCGAGAATATGTCATTATTTTTGTTTTAGAATGATTCAAACGGAGGTCATTGTCTAAACACCAACGACCGAAGGAATATGCGTCATTCTGAAGCGCGATGCAATCCTTTAAGGTCGATATTTTTTTGTAAAGTTTTATATCATCAGCGTACTGCAGAAATGAAGAATTTAATATAACTCGAGAGACATCATTTACAAAAATATTAAAAAGGAGGGGGCCCAAGACAGATCCCTGAGGCACTCCAGAGCTTAATAATAATAATAATAATAATAATATATTTATTCACACAACACTTTAAATATGTCAAATGACGGGACCATTTCTAATCCGACAAT